CACAGAAATTTTAATATCTAAAACAAGTAGAAAAAGAATTGGAAATATAATAAAGATGAAAAGAAACAATATTTGAATCAGTTTGCTCACTTCACTAATATAAGCGCAGATAATCAAAAATGTAGAAATAAATGAAAAATTATTTTCAAAGAACAGAAAAGATTCCCATCATTAATATAAAAAGTTTTGAAAAACAGAAGATAGGAAAGGATCTAAACTATCAAAGGGAATCTAAACTAAATCTACCTATCGTAGATAACAATTCATCATTTCATTCGCTATTTAACAATCAACGTGCAAAAAAAAAAGAATGGAATCCTAATTGATGTATTAAAATGATAATAAAAGAAAATAGAAAACAGTAATACAGATAATAGAATTTAATTAATAATACATACAAAACAAAGAAAAACAAACCTGGTCCTTTATACCAAGAGAGAATAGTATTAAATATGAAATAATTAAGAAATTGTTCAAAGTATACAAAAATCTTTTTGGAAGTTGTTGTGGCACGATGGATTAAGCAATATAAATCCGCTTCGAGACGCTATTATTTTGAATCGAATAGTGAAGATCGTGTGAAGTATGTATAACAATTCGGTTCGCACGGATCGATCGGCGTACTAATCTTTTATAATGTCGCATTGATTGATTGTCGCACTGACGATTACACTTACTTGTAATTAATACGCATGGATACGTCGCACGAAATCTTTATATTGAATAATACGCTAACAATCGCATTATTTGAATTTAATAATGCACTGTTGGATTACAATTCATTCGCATGGATCGGTATTTCGCATAGAATATTTATATTGAAATAACGCAATAAATTGTATTCAGTATTGCATTCTTGATATGATAATACACTGTTGACCTTAATAACGCACTGTATTATATTCATTAAACTGTTGAATTTGATAACGCACTGACAATATCACTGATTATATTAATTAATGCATTCTTGATTTGATAATGCACTGTCTTCTCTGCTGGCAAGGCAAGAGATATTGGCAAATCACTTTAAAGCTCGAGCCGTTGCCTTAGCATAATTTCTCTAAAAACAATAAAATTATTAAATATCGATAGAACGATCGATACCAATCTTTCTAAAGGACATTAAACATAACAGGTAGATCAGCAACCGAAAAAGAAAACAATAAGCTACCGCGTCATAATAGCCACGATAGAGCTTGCGAACGCAGACGTTAGGACTTTCTGTCAGCATAAAAAGACGGGCGAACCCTATATTCAAACATATATAAAATAATAAATTCCTTTATGTGGACAAGAAGCCTAACGTTTTTCATACAAAATAATTCTAATAATTAGAATTATAGAAAATTGTTCGAACAGAAGTGATTAATGATATTTGAGATAAAATATTTGAGATAAAATATCTATACAATAGACAAAATATGCTTTAAAATTTATTTTTAGGAACCAAACAAAACGTATAATAAACAACAGATTGACCGAATGAAGAAAAATAGATAACATTATGAACATTCCTAAGATGGATTAGAAAGGGGAAGATCAATCACTGATAATCATCCCGAAAAGCTCTATAAGTAGAACATTCAGATATACTGGTCACATTTACAGATATGAAGAAAGCATATAATAATATGAGTTATTAATATTTTAGAGCAAATGACACTAAAAATCAATAATATATAGATGTAGAGATATAATTTAAATGATATTTATTAAATAACAAAACGGAAATAAAATAATAATAAACACAGATATTGAACACAAAACAAATAACACAAACTAATAATTCAAATAAACTCTTTAAACTACACAATTGATTCTTTTATACGACACAATTGACTCTTTTAGACTACTCTCATTCAACGTTTTCTCACGAGTCTGATTGACTCCGTTTTCCAACTCGCACGACTTTCCTCTTTTCAAATAGAAAAGCAGTCCACACCAACTCTGTACTTCTCACATCATATTCATACTTTCTCGTTCACGCGTCTCCAGCAAACAGACCATCTGTTACAACTAAAATAACTAAAAATATAACTACATATTATAATACTACATAGATAATTATCTGAAAGAAAGAAAAATTACAACCAGGAGACTTTTCTTATAAGGATCAATTTTAAAACCTAACAACTAATAATATTTATACATAATATTTATATAAATCACAAAAGAACATATAATAAAGAAAAGTTCTCAATAAAGTGAGCCAAAAATAACAAAGCAGCATAAAAAGAAACAACAAAAAGAGAAATGAAATGAAGATAAAGAGAAATTGAATGGGAACCTTCTTTTTTTTGCGTGGAAGGAAAACTTCATGGACACTTCTTCTTCCCCCACTTCTTCTCTTGAGGGTAAAACAGGATGGTGCCAAAAACATTATTGATACCGGCTAAAACCCTCCGCTGGTGGTCCATCTCAACGCAGAGAGGAGATCGAGAACTTTTGTCGAAAACATACGATTTTCCCTCGCGCGAGTCTATGCCCATTCCAGAAAAGTGGTTTGGAAATGATATTTCACTCGCCCTCTTATCATTGCTCGTATGGCTTGAACACAGAGTGTGGCCATACTATCTTACGTTCCCATCCCATGCTACCGTGCAATGCGGCCTGGTCCCCAAATCAAACGCTGGTAATCCGAATATTCTAGTCATTCGATACCCCAATTTTCCGATCAGGCGTAATGTCTGCGGCACCTGGAAGACTTCCTTCCCGCCGCGCCTGTCCTTTCCTTCTCCCGCTTCACCTCCTTCTAGAGCAAAACTTAATTGGATGATTTTTTTTTTTTATGAAATAATTTTATTGTTTCTTTGTATTTTTTAGTCTAATCTTTATATTTTTAGTCTTTCTAAATTTCGATCAATGTCTTTGTATTTAAATATAATTTATTAATTGATATATTACCAAAGTGTATAACATTATTGATATAGGACCTG